TTATTTAAGTTATTTTTTTATTTCTTGCATTCTAATCCATATAGTTAGATTTTATTATAATTAGGTCCTTGTATCTTTTTTACTTGTTATTTTAATTATTTTATTTAAGTTTATTATTATTTAGTTTTGTTTCATAATTTCAATTTTTCTAGATTTAATTTTTTAAATTAGAATAATATTTGAATCCGGTTAGAAATTAGGTAAACACTTTAATTTAATTAGGGAACAATTCGATTCAAATTTTCGCACTAAAAATGCCCGATTACTCGAGTTGATTGTTTGATTTCTTAATTTATTAATCTTTGAATAATTTTAATTTATTAACTTGCTTTTAATAATTATTAGTGCTTAAATTTATAGTTTAAGAATAGTAATAAGTGTTGTTGTGTTTATCAACCCACTCATAGCACATCCTATGTGCTTATCAAAATTCCATAATCTTCGCAACACTGTCGAGTTCCTAAAAAAGGTTCTTGTGTTAGCTTTTAACAAGAGTGTAACTTCAATTCTTCTAGTGCAGAAACATTTAATAAAAGGAAACAAGTGAGAAGGTAAGGAACCTTGGGGGCATGGAGTAGCATGTTGACTAAAAAATTTGAAAAGGAAAATCCTACAAAAACTAGTTGAATAGCTAAACATCAATAAATTTTTTGAATAGGTGGATATAAATTAGATTTCAGAGTAAAAATCATTAGTAAAATATATAACTAATTAAAGAAGATTTCAATGTTTATACCGAAAGTGTGGATCTACTACAGTGAACATTAAATCAGATAGAGTTGTTACAGATTATAGGAATAAAGAGGGCATACAGGAGAAACGAGGAATAAACAACGGAGTAATGAAAATCAAACAACATACACATGGTTCTCCAAGAGACTCCAATAGCTATCACTTGGTTCTTCAAGGAAAGTTCACATCTTTAAAAAAAAAGGTATAATAACATTTAATCAAGCAGTTCATACCAATAATGGCAAAGTGCTATGCTTCTATTGTCTTCAACCCAGCTGCAGTCCAATTCCCAGAAAACTTAATCCTTGAGAAAAGTGGGTTCATTTTGGGAGGAAACAAACAGAAAAAGAGTTCAAGTTTAGCAGCAGAAAAAATAAATAAATAAAAAGATGGTGGTCCATTGTTGAGTTAATCTAGTTGTCTCCAGGAATTGTCTTTGTATGTTTTTTGAATTTTAAGCATATTTTAGGTGGGAGAATTTTAGAGTCAGCAGTTACTAAAGTAGGGTAGCAGTTATTTAAGTGAAGTTGATATGGTTAGTTTTTTTTTAGAAAACGTGGGCTGTTATGTTAGTGGTGCAGTTATATTTTGTATTTGCTTGAATAATAAAAAAAACAGAAAATGATGCAGTGTGTAGAGCATCACAAAAAAAATCCTTAGTGTTTGTTTTGTTTTTCAAGTTTGTTACTGCTTTGAGAAAACTAACATTTGGTAATCAGAGCCAGGTTGTCAAAGCAATGGACAGTGAAGTAGGAGACCAATCACAAACACTAGCACTGGTCAAACCGATGGTAAGAGGAGCTTCATTCCCGATCCAATATCCAACGTTAAGCGAAACGAACTACGGCATATGGGCTGTCAAGATGAAGATACTCTTGCGTTCGCTAGAAGTATGGTCAGTGATCGAAGATGGAGACACAGACGACGACAAAGATCAAGGCGCCATGATAGCCATTTCTCAAGCCGTGCCAGATGACGTGATGATGGCAATCGCTGAGAAGAAGACGGTAAAGGAGGCTTGGGACGCACTCAGGGAGATGCGGGTTGGTGAAGATCGCGTTAAGAAGGCACGCGTACAGGTGCTGAAATGACAACTGAACAAGTTACACATGGAGGATTCAGAGACAATAAACGAATTTTCCATGAAGCTTACCACACTGGTGGGTGAGATTCGCTCTCTGGGCACAAAGCTCGATGACAGCGAAGTTATTGAAAAGTTGTTCAGCGCAGTTCCAGATAAATTTCTCCAGATTATTGGAACAATTGAGCAGTTTGGCGATATTGAGATGATGTCAGTTTCAGAGGCGATCGGTCGTCTCAGAACTTTCGAGGAAGGGCTTAAAGGACAACTGCACTCAAAGAGCAGTGGAGAACAATTACTCCTTACCCAGGCCAAGTGGGAGGCAAGAATTCCAAAGGCAAAGAGAGATGAAGGTTCCTGCAGCAACAAAAGAGGAGGACGTCACGGGAGAGGACGTGGTCGTGGGTGTGGAAATGGTGGAGGTCGAGGAAATGGTGAACGCAAAAATGAAGACCGAAAGCCACGCAATTTTGATAAATCCAAGGTTAAGTGTTTCAATTGTAATGAATATGGTCACTTTGCAAAAGAGTGTCCCAATCCAAACCGAAGAGAGAAGGCCAATCTTGTTACAACACAAACCGATGATGAACCGACATTATTGATGATTGAAACTTGTGTTCTCAGCCACGTAATACAGAACGAACATGTGTTACTACACGAAGATAAGGTGGTGCCAAAGATGAACAACACCCAAGACAAGGCTTGGTATTTAGATACTGGCGCAAGTAACCACATGACCGGTTGTATCAGAAAATTTGCTGAAATTGACACGACCATTAAAGGGTCAGTCAAATTTGGAAATGGCTCGGCTGTAGAAATACAAGGAAGAGGTTCAATTTTATTTGAATGCTTCACAGGTGAACATCGTGTACTTACTAATGTCTACTATATCCCGAAGTTGAAGAGCAACATAATAAGCCTTAGTCACTTAGAAGAGAATGGTTGCAAGGTTGTAATTGAAGGAGGAGTAATGTCTATCTTCGACAGATCACAAAGGCTACTAGCAAAAGTGAACAGGTCAAGGAACAGGTTATATGTGTTTAACATAGTACCAGCCCTACCCGAATGCCTTCTCACAAGGAGTAAAGAAGACGCTTGGCGCTGGCATGCAAGATACGGGCATGTGAACTTTCATGCCTTGAAGCTTCTAAGTCAGAAACAAATGGTGTGTGGCTTGCCCATAATCGAGCATGAGGACCGCATCTGCGATGGTTGTTTGATAGGAAAGCAACACCGAAATCCTTTTCCAGCAGTGGTGAAATTTCGAGCAGAATAACCTCTTGAACTGTGGCATGGAGATTTGTGTGGGCCAATAACTCCTGCTACACACGGAGGCAAGAGTTATTTTCTGCTGTTAGTTGATGATTGTACTAGATTCATGTGGCAGGTGCTGATCCGAAACAAAGACGAAGCATTTGAGGCATTCAAGAAGATCAAAGCATCAGCAGAAATGGAGAAAAACAGTAAGTTAAAGGCATTTCGCACAGATCGTGGTGGCAAATTTACCTCAAATGAATTCAAGAATTATTGTGAGTTGTTGGGAATTAAGCGTTATCTCACGGCGCCTTATTCTCCTCAGCAGAATGGAGTTATTGAACGAAGAAATCAGACTGTGGTCGACATGGCAAGGAGCTTGTTGAAAAGCATGGGAGTCCCAGGCGAATTTTGGGGAGAGGCGGTATCAACTGCCGTATATCTCCTAAATCGAGCACCAACAAGAAGCATCGTCGGCAAAACTCCCTATGAAGCATACTATAACCGTAAGCCAACTGTTGATCATTTTCGCATCTTTGGATGTGTGGGACACGTAAAAGATGTTACACCTCATCTTTCAAAACTTGCAGATCGAAGCAAGCCAATGGTGTTTATTGGTTATGATTCGAATACAAAAGGCTATCGGATGTTTGATCCAAAGTCAAAACGAGTAGTGGTGACACGGGATGTCGTGTTCGAAGAGGAGAATAAGTGGGAGTGGAGTAAATTTCCAGAAACAAAATCAGCAGAGAATACTCTTACAACACACTATTTTACCATAGCAGGCACATCTGATACGATAAATCAGAAAGATAAAGAGGGTGTCAGCGATTTTGGTATTGGTATTGGCATGGATTTCCCACAGCCGACCCAGGAACAAACTGGTGACCGATACCAGTATGCTACACCAGTGATGAACACGAGATCCAGAACATTTGTTTCGAACTCGCCTTATACTCCAGCAGCAACGGTTGAAGAATCAGTATCAACCGAAACACTACAACCCTTAACATTGGATGAGAGTTCATCAGTAGGACCACGGGGTAAGCATGGCATCAAAAGCTTGTACGATGTAACAGTCCCCATAGAGTTGCAGTATTCGGGTCTGTGCTTACTAGGAGAAGAGGAGCCATCGAATTTCGAAGAAGCCAAGGCAGATCCAATGTGGAGAAGAGCAATGGAGGAGGAAATTTCCTCTATTCGAAAAAATGAAACTTGGAAGCTCGTTCCATTACCCGACAGCCACAAACCTATAGGTCTAAAGTGGGTTTACAAGTTAAAGAATGACACTCAAGGCAGAATTATGAAGCACAAGGCGAGATTAGTGGCAAAGGGGTACGTTCAACGACAAGGCATAGACTTTGATGAAGTTTTCGCCCCTGTTGCTCGGCTAGAGACAGTACGTTTGTTGATCTCTATTGCGGCACATGAAGTATGGGAGGTGCATCATATGGATGTGAAGTCAGCCTTCCTCAACGGTGATTTGAAAGAGGAAGTGTATGTCATTCAACCACCGGGATTTGAAATAAAAGGAGAAGAGCAAAAGGTGTTAAAACTGTACAAAGCATTGTACGGTTTGCGTCAAGCACCTAGAGCCTGGAACTCAAAGCTGGACAAGTCATTGAGGACACTCGTTTTTGACAGGTGTTCTTTAGAGCATGTCGTGTACATAAGAAATCAAGGTAAAGGGAATTTAATTGTTGGAGTCTACGTGGATGATTTAATAATCACTGGAGAGTGTATTCAAGACATAGACAAGTTCAAATCACAGATGAAGAAATTGTTTAGCATGAGTGACCTTGGGTTACTAAGTTACTATCTGGGAATTGAAGTCTGTCAGAATTCTTAAAGGATCACACTCAACCAATCGGCATATGCAAGAAAGGTTTTAGACAAACGTGGCATGAAAGATTGTAACCCTTCACAAATCCCGATGAAACCTCGTCTGAAACTAAGCAAGGAAAGCACAAGTCCACCTGTAGACACAACTCTGTATCGAAGTATTGTTGGCAGTTTAAGATATCTACTGCACACACGCCCAGATTTGGCATTCTCTGTCGGCATGGTGAGTAGATACATGGAGAAGCCCACAGCGGAGCACATGGCCGCAGTAAAGCACATATTACGGTATGTTAAAGGAACTTTAAACCTCGATTGCGTTTTTGAGAAAAAGGAAGGAAGCTTGGAGCTGATCGCTTACTCTGATAGTGATCTAGCTGGTGATACTAATGACAGGAAAAGCACCTCAGGTTTAATATTTTTCCTTGGGTCTTATCATATTAGTTGGTGTTCACAAAAACAGAAAGTGGTTGCGTTATCTTCATGTGAAGCGGAGTACATCGCTGCCTGTGCAGCAGCGTGTCAAGGAGTGTGGCTGGGACGACTATTGGCAGATTTTTTAAAGACCGAGGTGAAGAAAGTGATTCTAAAGATCGATAATCAGTCTACAATTGCATTGAGTAAGAATTCAGTTCACCATGAGAGGAGCAAACACATCGATACCCGATTCCACTATATTAGAGATTGTGTTGAATCAGGAATGATTTAGATTCAACATGTTTGCACAGAAGATCAGTGTGCTGATATTATGACAAAGTCACTTGCAAAATTGAAGTTCTTGGAGATGAGAGAGAAAACTGGTTTGCGGATCGACAGTGGAGGACAACAAGCTTAAGGAGGAGATTGTTGAGTTAATCTAGTTGTCTCCAGGAATTGTCTTTGTATGTTTTTTGAATTTTAAGCATATTTTAGGTGGGTGAACTTTAGAGTCAGCAGTTACTAAAGTAGGGTAGCAGTTATTTAAGTGAAGTTGATATGGTTAGTTTTTTTTAGAAAATGTGGGATGTTATGTTAGTGGTGCAGTTATATTTTGTATTTGCTTGAATAATAAAAAAAACCAGAAAATGATGTAGTGTGTAGAGCATCACAAAAAAATCCTTAGTTTTTGTTTTGTTTTTCAAGTTTGTTACTGCTTTGAGAAAAATAACACAGTTAAGGTCGGCTCAGTGAGAGACGTTGGATCTTAGTGGATCAAGCTTGTTATCTTCCCACTGCCAAGAGAGAAATGTCTTCGCTGCTCTGTGAAACCAGCCTCACGCAGTGCCCTTCGCTCTAGGAGCCACGACACCCACAGTTTTCACTGAGGTCCCATGACCCAACTCTTGGCTTGGAACGGGCAAGCCATGGCAAAGCCACGTGGGATCCGACTCAAGGAGCCAAACCCATGTTCCACAATCCTAGTGCCCCACTCGGGTCACAAGCTCCCGTTACAAAGCTCGGCGATAATTTCTGTGGGTAGCAACATATATAAATACCTAATACCTGCTCTTACTTATCCATGTGGGATTCTTTCTTTGAGGTGCTTTTTCTATTTTGTACAAATAAGTAAAATGATTACCAGGGAAAAAAAAAACTTGAGATGAGAACTTGATCCAAAATAATAATAAAAGTATTCTTTTATATATTATTAATTGCATTTTGATTAAAAAAAATTATGTAAGCATGACCTACTATTAGTTTTTATTTTCAATTAATATTATTAATTTGACAAATTGATATTCTATTTAATTATTTTTAATTTGGATGAAATGTGAAAAGTTAAATGTTATATTGTATTAGATAAATTTTCATTTAAAACTTTGAATTAAATGAAAGTCATTAAATTCTATTTAAATTCGAGAATCGAGTTTTATTGAAATCATATTAAATTTAACTTTAAATCGGAAAAATAACTATTCGATGCCGTCGTGTTAAATCTATCTCCAACATCTCCATTTCTTAACGGATACGATGAAAAATCCGCTTTTTGTTGGATGATTGGGAATAATAATAATAATAACAATTGTGAGAAAACTGGCAACCAAAGTTGAATTTCAAAGGTTAAAGGCCCTCAAGAGGGTGATATATTGGTGTCACTGTGACTTTGCATTGTCTCTAATGTTCAAAATTTCACAACATTGTACACCACTTCTCTAGGAGGGTGACGAAAACCTATGGAGATAAAAGAGCTAAATATGGAAGGAAAGAAAGAAAAATAGTTCATGTCGAATAAGCTGTTGAACTAATAAGTCGGCCTTCCAACGATTTCCATCTATAGAACTTTCCTTTCATCTTCAGCTGGATCAAGAAAAGACTTACATGTACATGCATCACCTGTGGGTCGAACCGTCACCATCGTTGCAAGTTTGAAATAAAACTGAGGTATACGATGACAAAATCTACTGAGTTTAGGAGATATCCATCGGATAGGAACCGAGGACTCGGAGAAATCCGGCATATTCCTGCCAGGGGGCACACAATTCATCTTCAGATTCACTCTGCGTGAATTAAGGGAAACGAACAGAGCTATGGAAATCAAGATAGTTAAGAGTGCATCGCACACCAGAGCTTTGGAAATCAAGCTAGTTAAGAGTGCATGCACACCGGCGAGATTTTGATATTCAAAGAAACAATACAGCAGACTCGAGCACCAGCATCACATTGAAATTTCAGAATGTATAGGATTCCAAGTGCTTCTTCAGGCCAGAAAAGGAAGAGATTTGGTAGGAAAAATACGGTCGTTATGAGTTAGAGACGTAATAAAAGACTGAAATTACTGACCTGTAAATGTTCCAATGCATTTTGGGCACGCCGTTCAGCCATCGAAGTTTCAAAGTCGATGTAGAAAAGATAGTCGAAGTACCTGGAACCACACATCAACCGGATTAATAGCATTAATTTGATCACTAGTTATGATAATCCCACTTTCAAGAAAACTGTGCTTTGCTTTCTCCATCTGAATACGAGTATACTACACTTACATGGCAGTCCCACTGTTAGAATCGTCGACGACCTCAGAGGACGCCCTTTCCATCTGAAAATTGCTCCAAGAGGCGAGATAACAATCAGAATCGTCTCTGATAATGATAAGACAAAGATGAACACTCTTCTGTAGTTACCTTTGTTAGATTAGTATCCCTTAGAGAGAACACAGCCAAGGCTTTGAATAGCATGTCAGGACCTTAGAGTAAAAACTATACTGGTCTGGAAAGTCGAAAGATTATCAACGAAAGAGACACATTAATCGAATAAATGACCAAGTTCAAGGAGGTATACCTTATAAACCCTGTCCGTTCCGGGAATTATGGGTTATCTTGCAAGTACCAAATACCTGGTAACGTTATCATCCTCGTCCTGATGCACGAGATGAAGTAAATCAACAATAGAAAGAAATGTGTCTTTTTTGGCCGAGAAAGGAAATGTTATTCAATACACACCACGAACATAGTGAAGCCATCATTCATCTTCATCGAGAGATCTATGTGGAATTAAAGAGGGATAAGAATACTGAAGGTTTTTTTTCTGGATTTTATCTGCAAGAGTGTCAAGCCCATATAATGCAGCTGCTCTAGCACTTGCTATTGCGCCTATATCTCTTTTGCCACTCGAAGCAACCATCTGTTCCGGTATCATGGTGCGTGGAACCACGAACAATAATATAACAAGAAATGAACAAGATACAACACGAAGAAATTGAATTAGCACAAGAAGATCTCGAAAGTACCCGAGCAGCACCAGCAGAATCATCAGCACTAAGTCTAATAATGCCTAAGTTAGTAAGGGCCATATCACATTGAGCAAGTGCCTGAAAATGAGGATATTGTTAGCAAAACTAAGACTTCAAGAATCAAAATGCCAACCTTGGCAGGAAGTTTGCACATTCGATAAAGCAATCCTCACATTTGAAGATAGATCGGTTATGGACGGTGGTTGTAATGCCCCAAATATTAAATTAAGGACTTTATTGAAAATATTTAAAAATAGGAGTATTTATTCGATTAAATAATAAAAGATGAGAATGATTAGGATTAATGGTTTATTTGATTATAATAATTTATAAAATTAAACAAAATTGTACGGCTTTTCAAATAGGAAACAATTTTAAAAGTGATGTGACATCTGTATATCGTATACATAAAGGTATACGGGAGATGGGTGTTACAACATTTATACAGAACAGATATATATTGGATGTTAGAAACTGAATTGACAAAAACCATATAACGGTCCGGTTCATTAAAATATAAACACAACACCTTATAAAAGAACAATACAAGAAAACTGGAAATAAATTTATAGTGATAGCTCACAATCAATGTATTTCCTCTAGCAACTTTTGGACATCTAAATCAAATATTTACAACTTAAGAAAATCACTAGATCATTCCAGTAGACTATCAAACCTAATTAAAATCTATAGTATCAACAGAGATCGACCTACCTAAACCTTTTAACGGTTAATATTCCATATCAACACACGTGTAGAACAAGTACATTCGATCGGTATCAAATCAAGAACACCTCAAGCTTGTTGGTCCACGTGTGAGTAGCTTCCCATTTTTGGATTAATTATTTTTCGCATTTCATGAACATTGAATTGTAATTTGTAATTGTATATGATTTAGAGTAAATAAAAAGAATATTAATAATTATGGATTAATTTTGATAAAAATATAATTTTAAGGACTAAATTGAACAAACATGAAATTACAAACAAAAATTTAAATAAATTAAACAACACGTACTGATGACGGATCAAATCAAAATAATTATAAAATGTGGAGTTAAAATTAATATAAAAATGAATTAAATTGTATCCATTTAAAAAGTTGTTGAACAAAAGTTTATAGGGTTTGGAGATTATAATATAATTTATAAAATTTGAAATGAAGTTTATTATGTGATTTATAGGGTATGAAGTAAATTACAAAATATAAATCAGTATGGGTCAATTTTAGATAAAAATATAATTTTAAGGACTAAATTAGACAAATACTAAATTAAAAATTTAAATTTAAATAAATTAAATAACACAAAGAGTTCAAATCAAAATAATTATAAAATGTGAAGAAAAATTATAAAATATATTAAATTGCATTCATTTCAAAAGTTGACAAAAAATTGAAATAATTATAATATATGTATATATTATATAATAATATAATATGACACTTGTATATATGTTATAATGTATATTATATATATATATATAATATAGTATAAAGTATATAAACAATAAAGTATAAATATAAGTATATAAATTATATAAACTATATAATATAAGTATATAAGTATATATAAGTGTATATGTTGAACTATGTTTTATAATATTTTGATATAACAAAGTAAGGCAAAATGTTATTTGGACTTGATTGAATTTATTCAAAGTTTTCCAAAATAATTCAAATTCCATTAAATTAGAATTTGAGCACAAAACTGTTTTTCTAGGTACATAGTACAGATACTGTTCTTACAGTATCGATACTATTTGAACAGTACTAGTACTGTTCATGTGGTACCGATACCAAAGGTAAGAGAAATATCAATACTCTCTAGGTAGTATCAATACTACCAGTTGTTTTTCAAATTGCTCAAATTCCAAAATGCAAAATAGGTACTGATACTCAAAGGGGTACTTGTTGAACTATATTTTGATATAACAATTTATGGAAAAATGTTTTGGACTTGAATTGAATTTATTCAAAGTTTTCAAAGTTTACAAAAATAATTCAAAGTCCATTTAATTTAGAATTGAGCACAAAAATGTTTTTGCAAATAGTATTGTACTGTATGAATAGTACCGATAATGTGTGAACAACAACGAATAGTACTGATATTGTATGAATAGTATTGATA